CTGGAAATAGAGCAAATCAGACGATATAAAATGGATAATTTTGTGCACAAACAAATTCAGTGCAGTTAGAAGGGAAACAAATTGAGAAATAAAGTCATTGCAACATATTTCTCTCATAAAGGTCTGATATCCAAAATGTGGAGTAAATAGACGCAAATAAATAAAATCAAGAACCATTCTTTAGTGGTCATAGGATGTGAACAAGTGATTTTTTTTTTTTTTTTTTTTTTGGCTAGGCAGTGGGGTTAAGTGATTTGCCCAGGGTCACACAGCTAGTAAGTGTTATGTGTCTGAGGCCGGATTTGAACTCAGGTCCTCCTGAATCCAGGGCCGGTGCTCTATCTACTGCGCCTCCTAGCTGCCCCTGAACAAGTAATTCTTAAAGGAAGAAATTCAAGCTATCGAGAACCACAGGAAAAATGCTCCAAATCACTAAAGAGAAGGAAAATGCTTATACAACAAATCTGAGGTTCTACTTCATACCCATCAAATGGGGAAAAGACAATTGTTGGAGAGACTAGAATGATAGGCACAATAGTGCACTGTTGGTGTAGCTGAGAATTGGTCCAACAGTGCTGGAAAGCAATTTGGGTCCATACTCCCAGAGTCACTCAACTGTGCATAACCTTTGGCCCAGCAATTCCATCACTCTAGGTCTAACCCAAAGAGAGCATTAGCAGAGATGAAGGACCCATGTATACCAAAACAAATTTAGCAACGATATTTTGTTGTAGCAGAGAAGTAGAAACAGTGGGTTTTGGGTTCTGGAATCATGATCCCAGAAGACTGCTGATAAAGCATGAATACCTTCCTCCTCTTGGTGAAATGAAAGACTGTAGGTACAAAATGGGACAGATACTTTCACACAAATATATTTTGCTTGACTATACTTGTTTGTTACAAGAAAAGACTTTCAAGGGCAGAAGAGGAGGTGGCGATAAGAGACTGAGAAAGTTAGAGAAAATGTTGAAACAGAGTGTCAATGAAACATGTTCATCATCATCATCATCATTATTATTACATAGTACTTACCATGTGTATTATTATTATATAGTACTTACTCATAGCTAAGCACAATGCTAATCACTTTACAAATCTTATCTCATTTTATTCTCACAACAACCCTGGGAAGTAGGTACTATTGTCCTAATTCTACAGTTGAGGAGACTGAGGCAGAGGTTGTGACTTGCCCAGGATCACATAGCTAATAAGAGTCTGAGACTGGATTTAAACATAGTCTTCCCGACTCCAGGTCCCAGCTCTCCCTCCTCTGTACCATCTGGCACCTGTGCATTTTAAAATATACAAAGTCCATAAGTGGATTAACACGAGCAGAGCAATATCAGTCCTACCATGTCACATTATATAAATAAGTTGTGGGTAGCAGATACATAGTTTCATGTTTATAAAATCTTTTTCTGGCCTTCTTCAGACTTGAAAATGTTGCTGTTAATGTATGATTCTCTAATCTAATAATTTTTTTTTCAGTCCTGTGTCAGTTTGATATTTCTGTGTAAAAATAAAACAATCATTTCACTGTCAGAATTATTTGTCATTTTAAGAAAAGAGAATCAGAAAAGGGGGAAGTATATGGTGTCTCAGGAAAAGGTCTGTCAACATAATGCTGAGTTTCTGTCATCTAGAGCAAGGGTTATTAGGCTTTTTGGTGTCATAGGCCTTTTTCATTTGATAAACCCTATAGACTCCTCAGAATCATGTTTTAAAATGCATAAAATATGTAGGATCAAAAAGAAACCAAATTATATTGAAAAGGTTGTCGAGGTATGGATGCGTGTGTATGTGTACACATAATATACACATATACATAGGTTTTTACATACATACATACATACATTTCCAAACTCACACGCCCCGGGTTAATAAAGCCTAAGATTATAGGAAAATGGGTTGTTACCATAAACAGCCTTTGGTCACCGTTTTTCCAGCCGTTCATGAGGTGAGAAGGCTAGAGAGGAGGCCAAGGCTGCAAGGACACATCCTGACCATGGAGCTCCGTGGGCATTGTGGGATGGCAGGATGAGCTCAGGCTGATATGAGAGGACCTGGGTTCAGATCCCGCCTCTGGTATTACTACCTCTGGGACCAAAACGTTGATCCTCTTTGGGTTCAGTCGTGAGTTTCCTTAGCATTAAAATCAAGGGTTGTTCTAGAAGGTCTTTAAACTCCATTTCAGATCCAGATCTATGATGCTTAATGTTTAGTGCCCCAGACAACTTAGTGACTCAAAGTGCAGAACTCATTGCCCTGCATTAGTAGAGTTTACTTCCTGGCGAGTTTCCTACATCAGTGAAGTCATAGATCTGGTCCCAAGCGTGTGCTTGTCTGTGTGTCTGTGTCTGCCTACACACATAGAGAGACAGAGAGACACCGAGAGTTGAGCTTTAGTAATTCCTATAGGTATTCCGTTATAAAACTAGTAGTCCTATTTGTAACCTCAGCTTCATTCACAGACACTCTAAGAAGCACTAGGTTGTCCTGGGAGCTTATCACTTTAACTAGCGTTAAGGAGTGTGATGGCTAAAAAGAGACAGATGACAGAAAAAGGGGGGAGAAAACGTATTTCCTGAGAAGTATTTGACTTTTTTTTTTGTTTTATTGATTTTTTTTGTCTTTATAATTACAATTATAGATTACTCACACTTTGTCAGAGATCTCTTGGAACAAATAGTTAAATAAAACTGACAATACAGTGACTTAATCTAATACTGCTAGCAGCCTCTCAAGTTTGTAGCACCCCACACATACACTTCTCTTTTTTTTTTTTTTTTAAATTAACAGAAATCTATTTTCTCTCCCTCCCACCCCCAACTCCACTGGGGAAAAAAAAAAAACCTGATTTCTTTTAACAAATACACAATCAAGCAAAACAGATTCCCTCAATGCCTCTAAACAACTGTTTGTGGATACAGACACAGATACATACGTCATTCTGCATCATAATCATCACTTCTTTGTAATATATATCGTGTTTCATCTTCTCTTCTCTAGGATCATGAGTAGTCATTATATTGATCATTGTTCTAATACCTTTCAAAGTTGTTTGTTTTTCCAGTGTTGCTACTATTGTATAAATTGTTCTAGTTCTGCTCATATCATTCTTTTTTTCTTTTTTTTTGCTAAATAATAAATTTATTTATTTTTAGTTTTCAACATTTACTTCCACAAGATTTTGAGTTTAAAATTTTCACCCCATCTCGCCCCTCCCCCCACCCCAAGTTGGCATGCATTCTGAATACCCCTTCCCCTAGTCTACCTTCCCTTCTATCTCTCCCCTCCTCTTATCCCCTTCCCCTTCTATTTTCCTGTAGGGCAGGATCGATTTCTGTACCCCATTTCCTGTATTTCTTATTTCCCAGTTGCATGTGAAAACATTTTTTTTTAAACATGTGTTTTTAAAACTTTGGGTTCTAAATTTTCTCCCTTCCTCCCTCCTCATCCACCCTCATTGAAAAAACAAGCAATTCAATATATGTTATACATGTGCAGTTATGCAAAATACTTCCATAGTAGACATGCTGTGAAAAACTAACTCTATTTCCCTTAATCCTATCCTGCGCCCCCATTTATTCTATTCTTTCTTCTGACCCTGTCCCTCCTCAGAAGTATTTGCTTCTGATTACCCCCTTTCCCGATTACCCCCTTTCCCAATCTGCCCTCCTCTCTATCATCCCCCTACTCTCTTGTCCCCTCCCCCCCCATTTTCCTGTAGGGTAAGACAGATTCCATACCCAATTGAGTGTGTGTTACTCCCTCCTTAAGTCAAATCCTATGAGAATAAGATTCACTCATTCCCTCTCACCTTCCTCCATTTTCCCCCCACTGTAAGAGCCTTTTCTTTTCTGTTTTTTTTTTTGTGAGGTAATTTACCCCGTTCTACCTCTTCCTTTCTCCTTCTCCTAGTATAATCCTCTCTCAACCCTTAATTTTATTCTCCAGTGCTCATATCATTGTTCATCACTCTAAAAGGTCATATCATAAACAAGTTAGAGAAATTCTTATCTTAAGAAGAGATTAATTTGTATCCTTAGAGAACTGAATGTTCAGTCTGTGCTTCCAGAATTGAGAAGAATGCAGAAGTTGTAGTGACAGCTAAAGATGACTTTGACTATGAGCCTTTTCATAGCTGATTTTTTTTATTAATTCTTCATTTAGCAAACACTAAATAAAATTAGTGTTTCTACCTGCAAAACAGAACAGAAAATAGGGATTCTTCATAAAACACAAATCTCTGTGAGGCATACCTTACTTTTCTTTTTAGGTATGTAATAAATTTGATGTGTAACTTTCAAAGCTGTCCCATTTGTATGGGTTTGCTTCTATCCTGTGCATTTTTCCAAAAATGTTTCCGTGTTCTGTTTTTCTTTTTTGCCTCCCCCTTCCAGTGTATCTTCCTTTCAACCTCCATCCATTAAAAAAGAAAAACAGAACCTTTGTAACAAATATACATATTCAGGCAAAACATATTCCCGTGTTAGCTATGTCCAAAAATTGACTCTCTCATTGAGAGTATCTCATTGAGCATTTTTAGTCCATTTGTCAGAACTCGGAGCTGATAATTATTGTAAGTAAGTATTTGTATCTTCATTTTGTTTGTTATGCTGTTAATAAATCTCATAGTCAATAACTTTTAGTTTATTTAAGCTTAGAGAATTGGGGTGCTTTATGGGTAGAGAGAAATAAGTAGAAAGAGATTTCTCTAGTTTGTTAAACAACACATATGTTCTCAAGTTTATTAAACTGAAATTGAGTTAGTTGATTAATGAGAGATGTTTCAGCATTAGTAGTTAATAAGAACATTTCCAAACATAACCTTTCATTACCTTAGACTTTTGGTAATGAATAAGATTAATGAGACAACAACAAGTAGATAGATTAATGATCATTCCATTTTAGGCTGCATGTGGGACATGACAAACTTAAAACCCTGTTATCTGTGATAAGCAATATGAAATAACCACAATCACATTTGAATTCCGTAGCCCATGAAAAGAAGTGCATCAGTCGAGGAGAAGCTCTCTTGCCAAGCACACAGTCCAAACTGTCTCGAGTCAGCAGTGGTTTTGGCCTCTCAAAGTTGACAGGATCCAGAAGGAATCGGAAGGAGAGTGGCCTCAGCAAACACAACCTGTCCACACAGGTGAGTTGTGGGGTTCCACTGCAAAGAGTCCTAGAGGATGACAGATTAAAGCATAAAGTATGCATTCTTATAAATGACTGAAAATGAAGCATTTCTTTCTGATTCTGCTTCGGCCATTTCACAAAAGAATTTATCCAGAGTGGCAGAACTTCTCATGTGCTCGTGTTTCATTGTGGGTACCAAGTCTAGCATTCATGTTAGAATGCAAGTGAACAAAATAGATAACAATGTGTAATTGTATAGGCTGTGAGACCCTTATCTTAATCTCCACGGACATCTTGACTCTTCCACTTAATGCCTTTTGATCCTAGCCAAGCCACTTAACCTCTGGGGATTGTAGTTTCTTCAGCTGTAAAATGAGGAGGTTGGCTTTCAGCACTTCTTAACTGTGGGTCCCAACAGCAAAACATTTCTGAACGCACAACGGCAAAAAATTAATTCAAAATCAAATGCGTAATGAATCTGAGGTGTTTCTGGCAGCGCTTGCCCGTGTTGCATCCTGCAACTTCGCTGCGGCCTTGGTTCTGAACACAAAGCATGGGCACTTTGTATTGCACATGCCCTCGAGCAAAGCAGCCCAGTTGCCAAAAGGGGTCACGAGTGGAAAAAATTTAGGAAGCCCTGGCTTAGAGGATTCACTTAGATGATCCACTATCTTTAAATATTCAATCTGTTCAGGGCAATATAACCTCAACGTAGACAATGAGATGAAAACCTAACAAATAATAACATTTTTACATTGGCTTTTGCAAGGGAATGAAATTATTCCTTACTTACTCAGACTTAAAATAGTCTAACATGTTATGTTCTACTTGGCTTCCATAGCCAGAGGTGAGGCCAAAAAGCTGTGGTTAATGGTTTGTTTGTTTTTGTTTTTTGTTTTTTTCTCAATCATCTCAGCACTAATACCTGAGAGGCAATTGTGAAAAGCATTAAGATACTAAAAATTAGTGGGTATTCATCACAGGAGCTTAGTTGTGGTATTCTTTCTGTGCAGGTTTTTTAGTAGAATTTTAATCAGTTACCCTTCATTTAAAATTAAATGTCAATCAATTCTTTTGTACTGTAATCTTAATAAGATATTAAGACTCTTTCCCCCCTCCAATGTCTTAGGAGATTTCTCAGTGGATGTTTACTCATATTGCTGTTGTTCGGGACTTGGTAGATACACAGTATAAAGAATATCAGGAGGTAAGAACATAGCTAAGTAAGTATAATTTTTTTCAAATCATCCAATTCAGACGCATCATCAAATACTAGCCCAGCCTCTAGCTATTGGTTATCTGTGAAACTAGGAATCAGCTCTTGGACTCAGCACTAATTAGGCCTGTGTCCTGTCTACCTTCTTATCCCCTACTTAAAAAGAGAAAATAATAAATTTGGTACTTACTTAACTCCTCGTATCGAAAATGGCCCAAAAGTGCTTTGAGCACTTATTAAGAAACAAGATCTGTTTAAGGTGTTCTCATTAATAACCTCAATGGAAAAATGAATTTTATAGTGTCTACTTTATTTAATTTATAGTTATTTAATAACATCCTAAATATATGTGGTCTTTTTGAGGCAACTAGTAATATTTTTAAAATTATACTCCCTGAAATTTGTTGAATATATCTGATGTTATATTTATATGAATTTAATATTTAGTATGTTTGATATTTAGTATATATTACATGGGAAGCTAGGTGGTTCACTGGATAGAGGCCTAGGCCTAGAGTCAGGAAGACTTATCTTCCTGAGTTCAAATCCAGCCTCAAGATACTTACTAGCTATGTGACCTTGGACAAATCACTTAACCCTATTTTCCCCATTTTCCTCGCTTTTCTCATCTGTAAAATGAGCTAGAGAAGAAAATGGCAAGCCATTCCATTATCTTTGCCAAGAATATCTCGGGTGGGGTCACAGGGAATTAGACACGATTAAACAACAACAACACAACAATATATTGTATACTTATTTTCAGAAATATTGTAAAAGTCTTGTTATGTCATTATGTAGCATCATGGCTGTTTAATCAGGCTTTTTTTATTTAAAATCAAATTCTTGTAACATATCAAGAAGCATCTTATTCTAGATTGGTGTGTATGTAGAGAATAAATCTCTAGTGCAGTTCAATTCAATAAGTATTTACAGTTTTCTATTAAATATCTGTTATGTGGTAGGCACCACACCCTGTGCTAGGAGAAGAAAGGCAGAAATGAAATGGTTCCTGCTCTCAAAGAAGCTGCATTTTACTGATGGAAAACAACACATGCACACATAAATGTACACAAAGTCATTTTTTTGGCCAGGAAGGGGAGGAAGAGCAGGGAGTAGCAGTGCCTGAGGATATGGAATAAGGGATGCTTTTGAAGCTAGTGATTCCGTAAGGAGGAGAGAAGAAAGGAGAGCACGCGATATATGCATAGCAAGGAAAAGCTAGTTTACCTTCTGTGTCGAGGGCAGTAGAGAAAACCAGCTTAGAAAAATATACTGGAGCCAGATCCTGAAGGGCTTTCCAAATTTGACAGATATTTCTTAAATGCCCATTGTAGGTGACATCCCTGCTAGAGGCCACGAATACTAAGACAACGCAAACCAGCCTCTGCCCTCCCCATATTCTTCTAGTATCACATTTCACTGTACATTGAAACTGAAACGATGGTATTCATTCACACACATCGCTACATGACACATACATGAGAGAATGATCTCCTTTTCATACCTGTTGAGTTGGAGATCCCTGTGTGACAGTCAGGTGGAGATCCCCAGCATGCAGTCGATGGTGCTCTAATGGTGACGGTTGGCTATGTGTAGAGATGATAACTGAACTGATCTGCTCACCAAAAGAGGATCAGGGAGGCCAGGACATGGTTAGGAGGTGGGGCACAAGTATTGCTCCTGCAGAAGAGGCAGAGGAGGACTGGTTAGGAGAGGAGCCAGGAGGGGATCGTGTCCCACACAGTAAGGAGAGAGCACCTAGGAGAAGATGGTGGTCAACAACATCAGCATTTGATTATGACCATTTGGTTTATGTAAAACTGCCCACTTTTCTAGAATGAAAATCGCATATTAATTTCATTGACATAAATATTACTTAACACATACAAAGTAATTAGCAGGTATAAAGTACCTAGTATTGTTTAACATGTATAAAGAACTACATTAGATGCTGAAGGAGATAGAAAGATACATAAAAATTGCCCTTTTCCACAAATTTTTCTTACTATTTAGAGGATTGATAATATGTGCACCCAAATAAATATAATTTACCAATCAGGGATACACATTTATATTCTTTCCATATATTCCTGGGATGTTAATGTTTAATAGGAGAATAGCAGGAAGTTTCACCTTGTTCATTCTCTGGTCTGTTGACCAGAATTCCTTGCTGTGTTTTCATGGCTGTCTTCCAGTACCTTCAGGCAATTATTTCATAAGTCCTCGGGGTCATACTCCGAAAGACTGTGTTTATCAGCCAGCCTTGGGAGGTCAAGACTTCCTCGTTGCTGTTGGTCGGTGCTGCCATGCCAGAAGAGATCAGTAGCTACGCTTCAGACATTGTATTCAGATGTTGCTGGGGTTTGTACCCGATACAATCAATTCCTGTCATCAAGCAGGTTTTTCTTGATTATACCAGAAACAAGTTTGTATTTGGAAATAAGAGCAGCTTATGCTAGTTTTGCCAAAAGTATTTAATTATGACCGAATCAAGGTATACTGTTTTATGAGAATGGAAGAATGGGGTGTCCCCACACACCTTAAGAGATGGTCTTCCTGACCTGCTGTTCCCCCTTGCCTACGTTGGGGCCCAGCCCTTTTGTGATTACACCTGTTCTCGGTTAGGCTGCTCCGCAGATAATCGTTGATCTCTCTGGCGTTTAAGGCCCAAGGGGTTCTTGCTTCCCCTTGCCTTTCTGGCTTTATTTCGTACCACTCCCCTGTACGGACTCCGTGTGCTAGCCAGACTTTCCTGAACTTGATGCTTGTGTTGATGTGCGTGATCTTGCTTGTGGCTGTGACGCACCCTTCCTCATCCCTGCCTTTCTTTCTTCAAGGTCCAGCTTGCTCCGTGCAGCCTTCCTTGACACACGTCTCTTCCCTCAGTTCTTAGTGCTATCCCCATCCTCAATATTCCTCATAGTATAGTTATTTGTGAATGTTTTGTGTGCTTAGTAAGCTCCTCAAGGGCACGGACTGTTCCATTTTTTCTTTCTGACTCGGTTCCTGGCTTAATAAACATTTGTAGAGCCTGTCACTGGGCCTGGCTTTTCCAACTCAGTAGTCCTTTTAGAGACTGTGCTCTGCTAGCAGAAGTCTTGAAGTACAGGCTCATTTCCACGCCCTAGTGAGGCGTCAGACAAGCGTGCATAGGTTTTCTTTGCCACGTACTTGGAACACATTTTCATCTAATTACTGTACTTTGTGTCATCAAAACAAATTCTTCCGTTCTCACAAAACAGTATACCTTGATTTAGTCATAATTAAATAATTTTGGCAAAACTAATATAGGCAGCTCTTATTTCCTGATATGAACTTGTTTCTGAGCTGTTTCTAGATTTAGTATTACTCCTGCTGCTTCTGATTGGATACCAATTTGAAAATCTTCACATCCATAGCGTCAGCAAAATGCCCTGAAATACGTGACAGAGGAGTGGGGTCAAATCGAGTACGAGCTGCTGCGGGAAAGAGGTTTGTGGGGTCCTCCCATTGGCTCCCATCTGGACAAGTGGATGCTGGAGATGACGGAAGGGCCTTGCAGAATGAGGAAAAAAATGGTCCGCAATGACATGTTTTACAACCACTACCCTTATGTGCCAGAAATTGAACAAGAGACAAATGTGTTGGTGAGTATACACGGTCCTGTGTTTTATAGTAGCTGTTCAGATTTCTTTGTTCTTTTGTAAGCTTTTTCAGATTATCATATGAATTACCTAAAATATCCTACCTGAAATCCTAAATTCATGTTAATTAGCAGCTTACTAATTTATTTTCTCTCCATTTGGAAACTAGTTAGTGTATCTAGGAGTTGGACAGAATTGTGGAATGTAGTAGTATTGGTACTATATTGCTTTATTATAATTGTTTTATTGGACTTGTGATTTCATTGATTATAGGAAGCTTGGCACTTTCTCACAACTGATAGTCTTAAAGAGTTTTCCGAATCACTGAGACCTGTGACTTTCCCGGGTTCGCACGGCCAGTATGTGTCTGAAGGGAAACTTCCACCCCAGGTTCCCTCCAGGTCCCTTCTCTGCTTAAAGTTCCAGTCAAAAGGTCATTTAGAGTTGTAGCTCTTTATAAAGATAGGCATTTTCCTTCTAGAGCCTGACAGCAATGTCACCAATTAGAGAGGTAGAGCTAACTACATTTTTCCTCAGAACCTTTTAATTTTTTTTTATTCTGCATTTAACAAACACCCAAACAGCTTCTTGTTTTAGATGTTTACATACAAAAAAAAATAATCCTTTCATGTATTTTCAAAGACTTTTACCAGCATTGATTATAGGCCTATGACCTTATAACAAATACTGTTACTTCACAGGTTTTTTCACTGCTCCTCTATCTCTTAGTTACTGGTGGCCACCCTTCTGAGAATGAGCTTCTCCATATTCACTAGATTGTTCCTTGACAGACGCATCCATATTTGAAATCTTTCTTGCCTGATAGGCCCTACGAAAGCTGGTGCTCTGCTGGAAATGCCTTTAAAACTCCTGGGTCACCCCCCAGGGAGGCACCAAGGGGTGGATTTCAGGGCAGATTATCACAGATACCCCTGCTTCTGGCACCATCCTTCTAGTTGCCCAGGTTTTCAACCCCTTGGGATCTCACAGCCAACAAATTGCTGAATCCCGTTGATTCTGCCTCTCCTACACCTCTTCCATCTGTCCCATCTTCTTCACTCTCATAGCCACCATAGTAATTCAGGCCCTTCTTGTCTCTCATCTGGACTAGTACAGTGGCCATCTTATTGACCTCTGCCTCAAGTCTCTCTCCTCTCCTGTGCAGCCTTCCCACACCAAAGGGAGGTGCCTGGAGACCAGGTCTGACCATGGCCATCCCTCCAGAAGTTCCTCTTCCCACTAGTTAACATACTGATTATTCCATTGTCCTTGAAAGGCTCCCAGTGTGGCTTTACTCCTTCACATACATTGGTATGTTGCAGCCAAATGGGCCTCCAGCTTCTGCCCATATGTATCTTCTGGGCCTGGGCCTAGATTGTCCTGCATGCCTGGGAGGCCCTCTCTGCTTAGGCCCCCCTGTGTGACCCCTTACTGCCACCTCCTCGTGCCCCCAGAAGCTAGCTATTCTCTGCCGTGTACACTCGGCTTTGGCTTTTCTCTCTGCACGTCTGCCTCACCACTTTCTGAGGACATGCTTGTTCTCCTCCTTGACATCAGGGACATTTTCTTGTTTCTCCCACACCTAGCACAATCCTGTCACCTAGAAGGATTTCTGATATGGGACCGATGAATAGGGATTCATCTCTATGCTTCATTCAATTTTACAAGTTTCAAAAACTCCTACCAGGGCCAAAGCCAGTGATCCAAGATGAGGCATGCTAAAAATGCCTCCTGAGCCCTTTTGCGGAACTTTGGCCTTCAAAGGCTCAGAATCCTGTGTCCGGGCTTAGTAATAGACTGATTTCTTTCTGTGAGTTACTAAATTTTATGAATGGTATAGTAGTGCTATCATTAGAGTTGTAATGTTATGGGACCTCATTCCATTCTTCCTCACTTCTCTGTTTTCTCATCTTCCACATCCAGTTGGTTGGGAGAGCCTGTCACTTCCATCTTTGTTATGACCCTTGCCTCTATTCCTTTCTGCTACGGGAGCCTCTCCTTTGTCTGAAGTCCTTCTCTCCTCTCACCTGGACAGTCACAGGCTCCTCTGAGCTAGGCTCCCTTCTCCCAGATTCTCCCGTCTTCAGTCTGTCCTTTACATGGCTGCCCAAAGAATCTTTCTGATGAATAGGCGTGGCCGTGTCATGCCCTGCTCAAAAAGGAAAGTCTCCAGGAACTCACCACCCTCCTTATTCTGGCATTCAAGCCCCCAGGCTCCTCCCTTACCACAGTCATTTCATGGTAGTCTTCAGGGCAGCTAGGCAGCTCAGTGAATAGAGGGCCAGGCCTGGAGTTGGGAAGACTCGTTTTCCCTGAGTTCAAATCTGGCTTCAAATGCGCTGGGCAAGTCACTTTAACCCTGTTCACCTCAGTTTCCTCATGAGCTGGAGAAGGAAATGGCAAACCACTCTAGTATCTTTGCTAAGAAAACCCCAAATAGGGTCACGAAGAGACTGAAACCACTGAACAAGTCTCCTTTATACACTATGGACTTAGATCACATTGGAGCTACTGATTACTATGTAACTTTATGAAAAAATCCCATCATCTCATCCCGCTCTCTCACGACCACAGCAAATGCCTTTCCTTACCTCCTTCTTCATGTATTGACGTGGGCCCAATCAATATTTCCACTGTCTCCCTAAATGTCTGGGGTCTCTGCCCTCCAGATTGCATTGTGTTTACTTACATACATATGTTATCCTCCTTTTAAATTGTAAACTTTTTTTTTTTTTAGGCAGTTGGGGTTAAGTGACTTGCCCAGGGTCATACAGCTAAGTAAGCGTCAGGTGTTTGGTCTGAGGCCAGATTTGAACTCAGGTCCTCCTGACTTCAGGGCCAGCACTCTATCCCCTGTGCCACCTAGCTGCCCCAGTTGTAAACTTCTTGAAGGCAGAATTGTCATCTTCAATGTCTGTGTTGTTGAATTGGATCAGAATAGTAAATGAATCCAAATTCCATGCTCTTTCTACTACGCCACCATTGTCTTTCAGAGAAAGCTTTTAGAGGTGCATAGTTTCCTATAGAATAGTCTTTACTAAATTTGTACTAAAGCCATATCTGATGCTCTGAATGTGCTCCATAGGGTTACAGTCTCCATGTTGAACTAGGGAATAACAACGCTCTTCTAAGTCACCAAATTTTTTAATCTTTTTTTTTTCTTTAGTTGGGTCTTATCTCACCTAGACTGATAGTACAGTGGCTATTTACAGGCCATGTTTCTCTGTTGATTGGCACAGGAGCATTGACTTGCCCTGTTTAAAACCTGGGATTGTTCAGCCCTCCTAAGGCACCTGGTCCCCCCTTCCTCCAATCCCAGGGGCTCACTATCATGGTGGTAGACTTACACTGAATGTGGTAAACTGAATGCCCTACAAGTGATCCACCAGCCTTAGCCTCCCTAGTAGCAGGGATTACAGATGTCCAGTCTGCATTTGAAAGAAAGCTGAGGATGAAAGGGTATAAAAGCCATGTTTTATTTAAGGTTGGTTATTTCATGGCTGCAGCTCACTACTTAGTGTTGTAGCTGTGAGCTATGTATCTGCAGTATAATTGTGACGTATAAAAAGTTCAAGAGACATAGTTTCTGGGTTCTGGATGAATCATTTTATTAATCATGCTAGCAATAATTAATAAAAGGAGTCAGTGGCACTCTCAAATGCCAAGGACCCCTCATGGAACCCACTCAACACTTATATGCCCTTGGAAGAAGGGGTGTTCCTGGTTAACAAGTAATGAGAAATTGAATATTACAATGAGAGGTGTGTTTATTCTAATGAGGTTTTGGGGTTTGGGGACTAATCACTCAGTCTTGGTCAAAGAGACTTATCTACGCCCCTATCACACCCCCTAGGGAAATCTAGACAAAAGAGGGAATCCACTTTTGACCAGACCTGTCTGAGTAAAACAGTGGGCCAGAATCTGTCAGTTCGCCTAAACTAAAATTTCTTTACCTTTTGATCAGATCTGAGTTTTCTAGTTGAGTCGGTTTTGCCCAAGATTTCATCTTATTATAAGCCCTGCACTTTAAAGGCTGCCTGAATAACTTCCAGGGGCTGATTTCCAAATGAGGAAAAGAAGGGGAAAAACTTAGTCCTAGTTCAATAAGTGGCTACTAATATAAGAGAAAAATGATCAGCCCCTAGGTTTGGTATCATATAGGACAATTCAAGTAAAATATAAAATGATACTCATGTTTTAAAACTATATTCTGTTGCCTGCCTTGAACTATTCTAGATTTTTATTTGTCCAGTTTGTGCATTGATTAAAGTTCTTGATGTTTCTCTTCTGGTGGCGCACATTTTGTGCCAAATCACTCCAGATAATGACCTGGAAAAGAGATAAATTAGTAAGGTGTTTGGGTAAATGTTTGGTTTTGTTTTTCATTAACAAGCATTTTATTTTATTGCATGTTTTATTAGCACAGTTTATCAGGGTTGCTGCATTAACATTGAGCAGTTAATAGAATGTTGGATTTGGCATCAGAAAGACCTGGGTTCAGATTCTGCCTCTGTCACTTGGCTAGCTGTGTGATCTGGACAAATCACACATAATAGCATAAATTTAGAACTAGAAAGGACCTTAGATGCTATTGAGTCCAACCCCCTCATTTTACAGATGAGTAAACTGAGGGCCAGGGATTTTAAATAACTTGCCCAGCATCCCATAGCTAGAAAGTTTCAAAAGCAGAATTTGATTCTTGTCCTCTCTGAACTTCAGATTTCTCATCTGTAAAATGAGGATGAAAGTACTTGTAATTCTTATGTTGTGAGGTTTGAGTCTCAAATGACGTAATATATAATAAAGCATAATATTACATTATAAATGTATGTATGTATAAGAGCTTTGCAGATGTGTTGTGTGGTAGTGAATGGAAAGCCGGCCTCACAGCCAGGCAGACCTGAGTTCAAGATTGACACATCCTGGCAGCATGACCCTACCCAAGTCATGTAACTTCCTACTGGCCTGCCCCAGGTAGCTCGTGAAGGCTACACGTTGCAGAGAAAGTGCCAGCCTGTGTCAGAGTGAGAGTGTCCTTGTCTGAGAGTTCCATGTATTAATGAAATCACAAGTGCAATCTTGATTCCTATATAAATCCCTATATCATTATTAGTTGTTGTTGTTTTATGTTCCCAATTAAACAGATCAATCCTACTCGCTACTTACCTGCCTTAGTATTGATCAACGGGCTGAAGATACTATCGAACATGAGATTTTTGTACTTTCTATGGCAGCAGTTCCCAGAATATGGTCCATAGACCAGTGGAGGTCCCTGAGAGCCTTTCAAGGGGTCTAAGAGATTTTTAAAAAAAAAAGTATTTTATAACAATACTAAGACATTATTTACCTGTTAAAATGCTCTTCCCTTTTTCAACTACGCTTGTGTGAGGCTTCCACGTTCTTCAACCAAAACCACCTGAGGGGCAGTTGGTGGTGCACTGGGCCCGGAGGCAGGAAGACTCAAGTTCAGAATCTGGCATCAGACACTTACCTTGGGCAAGGCTCTTAACTAAGCTCTGTTTGCCTCACTTTGCTCAAATGTAAAAGGGGGATGATAACAGCTTCTACCTCCCAAAGTTGTTGGGAGGATAAACTGAGATATTTGTGAAGCCCTTAACATAGTGCTTGGCATATAGTAGATGCTGTGTAAATGCTTAGCTGCTTCTGTGATTATTATATCACAGTAGATTGAACGCAGAAGCAAATATGAGAATCAAGCTACTCCATTAAGCCAGACATTAAAGAGTTTTTTTTAAATATGCGCCTCTCTTCACACTATTTTTTGAAAATATAATTATTTTTCATCAAATATGTCATTTATGCTAATATGTAATAGGTTTATTGTTATTTTCAAATGAATAAATAATTTTCTTTATTTTTCAGTTAATTTCTAATGTAGTAACTATCAATAAGATAAAATTCATATAAACAAAAATTCTGTTGGTTCCTCAGTAACTTTTTAGAATGTTAAGGGGTCCCAAAACTAAAAAGTTTGAGATCCTCAAACTATTCTATGGATTTCAGTTAGGTGACACTGGATAGAACATGGAACCTGGAGTCTGGAGGTCAAGTTCAGATTCCAGCTCAGATGCTAGCTCTGTGACCCTGGGCAAGTCACTTTAACCTCTATCTGCCTCAGTTTCCTCTTCTGTAAAATGGAGATAATAATAGAACCTCCCTACCGAGGTTGTTGTGAGAATCAAATGAGCTAATACTACATCAAGCCACATGCAAGGGGATTTTTTTTTTTAGGTTTTTATTGTGTGTGTGTGTGTGTGTGTATGAGTGCTCTTCAACAGCAGTGGATATTTTTGTTTTTCTTGCATCATTCTGTGTCGTTCATAAAGTAGTCATAAAATGCAAAATTTCATCATGTCAAGCAGCTTAGACTTCAAAATTTACTTTCTTTGAGTGTATGGCTCACATCCAGCCTGTGTTCGCTCATTTTTCACCAATAACTCAAGAAAGCCTTGCTGTCATATGTGCGCACACACACACACACACAAACACACACACACGTGATTTTTTTTCTGATCTCTCTGTACTTAATCCCCTGTTTTCAGTCTGCCACCCCAAGTAAGCAGCTTGACCCTCCTGATGATACCATTCCTCAAAAGGTAAAGCATAAAGTACCGTAACAGAATGTCAACTACACGCACAGTTTTAATGCATGATAGACCAAACTAACTTCAAAGATTGGTTTTCAAAGTTGCTTTTTCTATAAATACTTTAAGATTTAAAGATGTAGTCATCCTTACTGAAATATGTTCTTCTATCCTTTGCCAATCTGCCTAATCATTTCTGTAGAATTTGTATGTTGCTCACTAACAGGCTAAATTTTCACTGCTCATAATAAAACTTATATTGGCTTTAGTAATTGGTGATGCTTGATAAATGTTATTTACTCAGTAATCTACATAGAAGAAAGATCCTTATAAAATTCAAGAATTGTTTTTTGGGGGTTTTTTTGGTGGGGAAGGTAGGGAGGAAATGTAGAAGTAGAAAGAAAGGGCCAAAAAGGATGGTATCTGTCAGAAAGAATGAATCTCTTTAAATTTATGACTGAAATAAAAAGTATAGGTTATTTTATTATTCTTTGTTGGCCAGATGAGTGCAGTTTGAATGCTTCTCAGAAAACATTGTAACGTCTCAGAAGTATTTAAAGAAAGAATCCAATATCTTAGAATTACGACTGTGCAGTAATCCTTTAGATACTCTTTTACATCTATACATCCACTAATCTGCCTTCATTTATTTTGAAATAGGTATTTTATAAATACTTCAGTACCCCTGCTTTTTAAAAGGATCTTATTCCCATAGAATAAGAGGATTATACTAGTCTTCTTAATTTTCATATTATAGAATTCTCAGAACACTTTCCATTAGCTGGCCCTGCTTCTAAGTAAAGTTTTATTTAGTGTTTTACATATTTTATTTTTATACTGTTTGATTTCTGTTCCCTGTTTGTCACTCCTACTCTTCATTTAAAGTTCATTCCCTGATATTGTTACAGGCTTTAAAAGAAGGTAATTTTCTATATCAGAACTGTCTTCATTTTCAGAAACACTCCATTTAGAAGTACATTTGTTTTTGGTTAGACTTTATATTAGCAATTAGATTATATGAGCAAAAAGTATGCTTAATCTGATCATAGCAGGACAGGTAATATCCTTACTTATACATCAGCAGACAATACCATATCACATCATGTTTCGTTGCAGATTGTGGAATGTATTAAGAATTTATTTGTTTATATGAAAGGAAAAAGTATAACAAACACATTTTAGACATGAAGTTTCTAGAACTTAGTTCTCATTTCAGGCTTATACCTAGTGTTGATGAAAACCCTGGATCCAAGGTATTCTACTCTGTTTTAGCTCTATCCAAAAAAGTTTGAATGGTAGAGATATATGAACCTTCCCTTCAGTGGGTCTGTGATCTTGGTGTTTAATCTCACAGGCTATTCAGATTCTTATCTTCATATTGTCTGTGTTTTAAGGGAAAATGTTAACAGAGCAAGTAGAGAACCATTTTTAAATAAGAGGGAAATATACCTCTCCTTGTAATATGTCTAAAGGTTTCCTAAGCTCACTACTATATTCCTTTTTTAAACATCCCTCCTAATTTCATGATAATTTATTTAAATTGTAAACTAATTCATAAACCATATGTCTTCTTTCACACAGATGGATGTAGGAAGTGAAGCTAGAGTTGCATTCAATTTTGTTTCATAAATAGAGGAGTTCTTTGCCCAGTGTCGATAATTAATTTGGTCAGAAAGGACATTAGACAAAGACAGGGGCATTACGGGGCATGGTATTGGTCACTTCCATTGGAATGCTATAAATGAATGCTCAGTTGAGCAAATCAGCTACAATGGGGGTTTGTGATTTACAGTGGGGCTTGCTTATAATCTAAAATGACTTCATTGGAAGACAGTGTTAATTGGGGCAATGTTATGTAGAGTGTGCCTAAACATATAGGACCTTGGAAGAAGAATTATTCCCGTGAGGCAGCTTAGTGTAATGGATAGAGAGACAGCTTTAGAATCAGGAAAATCTTATTTTAAGTCCTGTCTTGATATATACTAGGTCTGTGATCATGAGCAAATCATTTGACCTCTCAGTGTCCCAGGGAGTTTCCTGAGACTATAAGATAAGCAGCAGAATGAGTCACTCAACTGTGGAGTGACTTCCATATTGGGAGTTATCCACACTGATGAAATCACAAGTCCAGACAAAAATCAACAGATTGTATTCAGAAAGTGCCCTCTGTGGACCCAAAGAGTAGATAGGGTTTATATAGGTGAAAAAGAAAAGTTAGAGCATGGCAAGTAAAAGGGACCCCATGAGGGAGAGCAGGAGATAGGTAGAAGACCACATAAGTCTTTCAGCTGATCTTTATTGGCCTCCAGCATTCTGAACCTCAGAACTCCTTAAGGGCCTGAGGCTAGAAAGTGAAGGCCATTGCACAGGTACCCAGGGGACACAGGGCCGGCAACTACCCCTAGAAGCACAGCTGGAGAGGGAACCTGTCCCTAGCACAGAGCCCCCAATTCAGGAACTAAGAATGGAAGAAAAGAATCACCATAGACCCAGAGATATCCCAAATGAGTGACTTCATAACAATTTCAAGAAGAGAGTCAGAGGAAAAATGAGTTTTCCGCAAAGACAAAGGGAAAACTAAAAGAAATGAAACAAGATGAAAAAAAAAAGATGAAATAAAAGCTTTGGAGGAGAGAACTGGATACAGAATAAGTAGCTTAGAACAGAAAGTGGTAAAAACTTACCCAAGTAGTAGATTCCTTTAACATTAGAATATATCAAAAAGAAATGAGTGACTCTGTGAAACAGGAAAAAATACTAGAACAAAATTTAAAAATTGGGGGAAAAAAAGAAAATATAAAATCTCTACTATCAAAAGTAAGTGACCTGAAAAATAGGTCAGAGAGAAATGGTTTAAGAATCAACGGACTCCTTGAAAGCCATGATAAAAAAGAAACCTGTTTAAGAAATCACAAATGACAACTGCCCAAGATATATTAGAACCAAGAGGCTAAAGTAAAGATAGAAAGAATTCATCAATTACCTCCCGAAAGGAACTTCAGAAGGAAAATTTCTGGGAATTTCATGATCAAAATCTAAAACTTTCACAACATAGTTAAAAAAAAAATACTGTAAACATCCAGAAAGAAGTGGTTCAGGTACCAAGGAACCATAGTCCCAATCACCCAAGACTGGGAAGATTCTACTCTAAACCAGAAGAGTTGGAATATTTCAAAAGGCAAAAGATAGGGGCTTAAAATTAAAAATAACTTACCTTTAAAAACTGAGTATTAATTCTGCACAGAGGAAAAAAGATGCATCTTTAATGGAGTAGAGCATTTCTAATTGAAAGATGAAGGCTGAGTAGGAAATGTAAACACAGGATTCAGAAGACACCTGGAAAGGTAAATCTCTGTGTATGCAGTTGGAAGAACTGCTTCTTTCTGGATGTTTGCAGCATTTTTTTTTTAAACTATGCTGTGAAATGTATGTGAGGTGTTGCAGCCCAGTAGTGGGTTGTATAGTGTTGCAGAGGGAGTTTTTCTGATGCTTCTGAGGGTGCAGAACTATTGATATTTTTATCGTTTCCCAATAAGGATGTCATTATGATATTTGGCTAACTCTTTAAAATATTAGATTAGAATTAGAATATATAAAATAAAATATATTAAATTAAAATATTAAAACTCTTTAAAATTTTCATATATAAAGTTATGATACAAAAGACAAGATAGAAAATGAACTTCTTTACAGGACATTCACTTGGCCACAATTAAAGCAAGTGCGCTTATCTTCATCATATTAAAGAAAATTCTGTACTTACTGATTACTAACTAACATCTGAAAATAGGTAACATAAAATGATAACAGCATCTCCCCTCGGTAACCTTAGATTCTCAATGCTTCTAGCTCTCTTGTTCCGTGTAAAGATGGATTGATGAGCCTCTCCCTGATTATGTTTTAGAAGCCTGCTCGATATCGGAGGGCAGTCAGCTATGACAGCAAGGAGTACTACATGCGACTGGCTTCGGGAAATCCAGCCTTTGTCCAGGATGCCATCGTAGAAAGTTCTGAAGGCGAGTCTGCACAGCAGGAGCCGGAGCACGGAGAAGACACCATCGCCAAAGTTAAAGGTGGGCTGCCTCTTTGTGGCTCGTTAAAATGGATCATTTGCATCCATTAGTCTTTCACGGGCTGCTTGACTTTCTGACTCTTTCATATTAGAAGATGAAAAAAGGGATAGTAGAGAGCCATGATTAATTTGGTAATCCTTGGGAATAAGTACTTGTTTCAGGGTTGTATAGGTTTGATCTCTTTGCCAAAGGCGGAGAACGAGGCATCATTTAATTGTTTTCCAGTGTGTGTTATGTGCTAGCCAGCTATTTGATGACACCCATAGTTTATCCACCTTGGCATCACACTCCAGGGCACTTAGTTATTTTAAGGTAGCACTCTAATAGACAATTTCTGGGTTTGTCCCTGATATGTTGTAACCAACTGGAAATGGTCATCTCACTTGTGGGGCTAAAGAGATTGCCCTAAATTTTTCCAGCTAGAGATTTCCCTAAGTGACTAGAATTAGACAGTAGTCGTGAAAAAGATCTAGGGGTTGTGTTGACCTACAGGCTCAATATGAGTCAGCAGTGTGTTGTGGCAGACAAAAAAACTGATGTGATTTGGAGCAGGATTAGGAGACATGTAGTTTCCAGATAATAGCCCCGCAGAGCTCTCCCCTTTTTAGACCTCGCCTGGAGTCTTGTGTTAGGTCTAGAGACCATGATTGAAGAAGAACATTGACGAGCTGGAGAGGGTCCAGAAGAAGGTCATCAGGATGGTGAAGGGCCTTGAGTTTATGTCATACAAAAATTGGCTGAAGGCAGTAGGTATTCTTAGCCTGAGGAATAGAAGACTCAGGGGGAGATCTGATACCTGCCTTCAGGCAACTGAAGGGTCGTCATGTGGAGAAGGGATGAGACTTCATTTTGTTTGGCCCTACAAGTCAGAGCCAGGAGCAGTGGTGGGGTGGGAGGGGTGGTACTAGAAGGGTGGCTTAGACTCAGTGTCAGGGGAACTCTAACATTAGAGCTGTCCAGAAGTGAAGTGGTGGCTTCTCCTCCTTCAAGGTCATCAGGTAGAGGCTGCATGACCACTTATGGGTGTGTGATAGTGAAAAGTCCTTCCATCTATGTGTGGTCTGGATCACATGGCCACTGAGATCACTTTCCTTTCTCACATTCTAGAATTCCTGGAACTGGGATGATCATCAGAAGTTACTAAGATGCTGTTATCCAAATTTGCTTTTCTTTGAGGGGGAAAATGAAATTGGATTCAACATTAATAGATTTTTGTGTACTCTGGTAGAAAGAAAAATGGATTAAGTGTTGAAATTCGTATTCCCAGCAACCCCATTATTAATTTGCTACATGAATTTAAGTAAATATTTTAACATTCCTGTGACATATTTTATATATATATATAGATAGATAGATAGATAGAGATAGATATATACATTTACACACAGAGAAATATTTATTTAAAATATCTACAAATAACAACAAGCCTACAAGGTGAGATGACCAAATATCCCTTGAAAAGATGGGGTTTTGTCTTTGGGAATATGATAAAGCAAGCTCCATTAACTCTTTTATTCACTTTTATAAGGGGGATCTGTAAGCGGTCTTTCTAGTTATCTGTGGTTCCTTTGTTTTTATTTGTTTTATCTTTAGTAAGAATGTCAATATGGATATGATACAATCATGTATCTACTGTCACTTGTTGAACAAAGATTGCACATTTAGAATATCAACATTTAAGCTAATATTTGTAGGTAAAACTAAACTGAAATTCTTAACACCTTCTGTTCCTGCCCCTTTTTTTTTTTAACCACTCTGCTATCGTCACTGTGGAAATAGAAGGCAGCCACAAGGATAAAGATCCATGTTGTATTTTTACCTTTTTCATTAGTTGATGTGGCAAAAAATTCACTGCCAGGGAGCCATCTGGTGCCTAACTTCTCTGCATTCAGCCAGGCTAGGCTAGATCCCAATTAATGCAATTCCTCCTGAAGTAGTGGCATGTATTCAGATTCACACTCATATTTCCATTGCGCTTGAAACTATTTCCCACTTTTTTTACACAGTTATAACTTCAAGAAGTACACATCAAATATATGAAATCATTCCTGGGAATTTATTATCCGTGCTACAAGAGACTTAATTGTGTATACAGTCTATTGTGGAGGCCACACTCAAAGGCTTTCCAGTTTGGTAGAATTGGCCAGAGCTTGCGCAATGCTGACATAATTTTTGAGAATCCAGGTTACCTCTGTGCCAGAAAGAGGCATTAACAAGGGAATTTTTATATTTCTAATTTTTTTTTAACATTTTAATAAAAATAATTTGGTTAATTTATTTTCCTGTTCTCTGTTATTTTTATTCTCTCTTTATTGAGAAGTTTTGTCTTAGAGAATCATGTAAGTATTCTTGTTACTTCTCTTACTCCTTCATGGATGCAGCGCGGTATAATGGATGGAGTGCTGTACTCAAGTCACAGAGACCTGAATTTGAACATGGCCTTGGGGGCTTCGGAGCTGAGTGATCCTGCACAAGGCACTGAACTGCTCTGAGCCTCGTTTCCCTCAGCTGTCAAACGGTGCCGACCTCACTGTAAAGCCCTGTGCGAATCTTAAAGCTCTATGTAAATGTGAGCTGCGGTTTTTTTTTAGCGCTTCATCCAATACCGGATTGCTCACCAGTCGGCAAACTAATTTGGTTCTAGATCTCCTGAGAATGGTGAGGAGGAGGGACTTTGCCTCTTCATTTCTCACACCATGTAGCAAACAGCGAAGGTAGCTCCCTCTAAAAAAGCTAATCAGCACCATTCGGTACTAATGTCTCGAAGCGTTGTGTAAGACCAGCAGATTCACCCAAGTTTTCTAGCTGTCTTGTTCCGTGGAAAGATGGATTGATGAGCCTCTCCCCTAGTACAACATTTTCTACGTAGCAGCTCCGTAAGAAATGTTTATTAACTTGAATTGAATTTAGGTTCCCATACAGTGGCAAACAAGTCACTGGTTTGTGCCTGCCAGAGATTTCACATCAGAGAAATTTGAATTCCATTTCCTTTGAACTACAGGAGAGAAGGGTCTCACTGCAAAACTAATCCCTATGCCAGTAACACTGATTTATTTGGTAATGACGTTACAGGTCTGGTTAAACCTCCTCTGAAAAGATCTCGTTCTGCCCCTGACGGGGGGGATGAAGAAAACCAAGAACAACTACAGGACCAGATAGCTGAGGGCAGCTCCATAGAAGAGGACGAGAAAACAGATAATGCAACATTACTTCGCCTGCTGGAAGAGGGGGAGAAGGTATCGTGTTTCAAAAACATTTGATCTCGCTTTACTTGAGCACTTTAGTTCAAGAGGCAGCTACGTGGATAGAGCACCGGCCCTGGATTCAGGAGGACCTGAGTTCAGATCTGGCCTCAAGACACATAATGCTTAATAACTGTATGACCTTGGGCAAGTCACTTAACCCCATTGCCTAGCCAAAAAAAATAAATAAATAACTTTAGTTCAAATACTTTTGGGGAGGCTGGTCAGTGATTTGTCAGGACGCTAGAGAATCTGGCTTTCATTCCCAGTGATAGACTGCTATCTTGGATAAGTCACTCAGTTTCTGGGTGTCTGATTTCCCCTGTCAGTGAAATTATTGAAACTGAGTAAGTGCTCTTTTAAATTAAGACTACAGAAGTAATGGATCTTGTCCTGGATTTGTGTGTAGGCAGCAAGTGAAAATCAGAGGGTGCTCTGTTTGCTTCATAGAGTTTTGTCCTAGGGTTAGGGCCTGGACCTGTGATTTCATTGTTACCGTGAGCTCCTGTGTGAGGAAACTCTTTCTACCCATGCAGGTTGCCACCTTCCCTGCAACATATAGTCTTAGATAGTTAACAAGAGCACTGAGTGAATTAGAGCTCAGAGGCAGGACCTGAGCCCACGTCGGTCTGGCTTCAAGGCCGGCCCTCTGTCCACTGTGCTGCGTACCACTTCTCATTACCATTTCACTTAGCTGCTAATAAATAAATGGGTTATTTGTTCTATTGAGGTTTTCACAGATGTCAGAATTCTAAGCCGTCCATCGGGAATCGTTAGTATGAACTAATGATAAGGACAGGACGTCTCAGAACCACAAAAGAACCTGTGAGGCTTCCATTTTATTGCTAGTATTTTTTGTTATCAACGTTGTGACAAGAGCAAAAGAAGAAAGTAGACGTTCATCTTGATATTGTAGGAAAGCGTTTTCCTCCGGATCTCTTTTCAGACTTTTTCATTAATAGAGTTTTTTCACGCTGGCTCTTGACTTTTACATTCTAATATTACAGGAAATAGATTTAAACTTGGACATGAGATGAGCCTTGTTTGACTTTGTCTTCCTGTCATGCTTTTCTTGACTCGTGTTGAAATAAGTTTTAAGAAAAAAGTCTTGGGGCAGCTAGGTGGCGCAGTGGATAGAGCACCGGCCCTGAATTCAGGAGGACCTGAGTTCAAATCCAGCCTCAGACCAAACACTTGACACTTAGTAGCTGTGTGACCCTGGGCAAGGCACTTAACCCCAATTGCCAAAAGAAAGAAAGAAAAAAGTCTTGTTACTAAGGGTTGGTAGCTACCTAGAAAACAGTGCCTACATTGAAAAATCACCAGTCCTCTCCATATGTGAAAACAGAATTTCAAACAAATTTCAGCTTTTTACATCAGTAACTAATCATAGTGTCAGTGAGGAATAGGGAACAAAATCAGTTTTGGCATGTTATTTTAACTTTTCCAGGGTATGTAGCAGTGGAAGAAAAGTAAGTTGTGGGCATCCTCCCGATCTAAATCCTCCTTCACATTCCTGCCCTCTGACAGCCAAGATTCCCCTACAGTGAAGCTTGCTTGGCACATGCCACTGTGTAATATAGTTTAGTAGTCATGTGGTAATGTTTTTATGGTAATGTAGTTTACAAGTTACTGAGTTGCCTAAATGACACTAGAGAAATGTTAAGGGTACATCATCTTTTTCATTGTACATGATCTTAATTCCTCTAAATTTCTTCTTAAATCCCAGTGTCTTATTAAGTTATGTAGCCCAAAGGAGTGTAAAAAGTTCTGACCAATACTGCTATGTTAAAATAGTCTAGACATAATTTTTTAAAGATGCACTAGATTCAGAAAAACTTGGGAAGACTTACATGAACTGATGCAAAGTGAAATGAGCAGAACCAGAGAACATTGTACACAGTAACAGCAATATTGTACAATGATGAATTGTGAATAACTTAGCTATTCTCAGAAATACAATGATCCTAAATTATTCTGAAAAACTTAGGATGAAAAATTCTGTCCATCTACAGAGAAAGAACTGATGAAGTCTGAATGCAAATTGAAGCATACTTTTTTTAAACTTTCTTTATTATCCTTGTCTTTTTTTTTTTTGACCTAAGTTTTCTTTTGCAGCATAGTTAACATGGAAATGTTTTGCATGACTATACGTGTATAATCCATATCAAATTGCTTGCCTTCTCAAGAAGTGGGGAGAGGAGGGAAGGAGAGAATTTGGAACTCAAAATTTAAAAAAACACAGGTGTTAAAATGTTTTGTTTACATGCAGTTGAGAAAAAGATTAACATTAAATGTTAATAAATCAAGATGTACCAAATGATATGATTTCATATGTTTGTTTACAATAATAAATAAATGGGAGGACAACTTTGGGTCCTGTGAGCCCAGGAAGGTTTAGGAAAGTCCAGAGGATCATAAGATTGCTTTAATATATTTTGTGACTGTAATTAAGAGCATCCTACTTCATAATATTAGTGAGAAAACTAATTCATGATCCAACCTTTGTTAGCCTGCGTCCACTGAAAATTGATGATTTTCTTACAGATTCAGCACATGTATCGCTGTGCTCGAGTCCAAGGCCTGGATACCAGCGAAGGCCTCCTTCTTTTTGGTAAAGAGCATTTCTACGTGATTGATGGGTTTACAATGACAGCAACCAGGGAGATTCGGGATATTGAGACTCTGCCTCCAAAGTAAGTCCAAACTTTACTCCAAAACATTACTCCAAAGAAAGTAATTAGCAGATGGGAAAAAAATATTTAATAATATGCATGTAAGTGTTTATTATCACTCAAATCACTTGATGCATCAGTTTAATTCCATAAACATTTATAAAGTACCTACTTTGTGCAACGGATTGTGATAGGTGCTGAGAAAATTGGTGATCATGTCTTATCAAGCTTGGTTCAGTTATTCGGGTAAGTACACTAGATAGCCTTTATTTAGATTGGCCAAAATCAGAGTCAAAGTCTGCATTAGACAATTTGAAATTTCTGTTTAAATTATCTACATTTGCAAATGTAAAATTTATTTCAAATATTATACGACTCTACAGAAAGTCCACATTGCTTTATGATTGAAACATGATAGGAAAGTGGGCCTCTTCATATACTCTTAACCACCAGAGAAAAGTGGACTGTCCTTGTGGTTCATGTGGAACCAGGAATTTACTAGTTGACAGATTTTCGCTTAGCTTTCTTAGGAACACAGATCTCGAACTAGAAGGGACATGGGGTCCTCTGATCCACACCCTCATTGCTCAGGGAGGGACACTCATCTTGACAGGGTCAGTGACTCGCTCAGGTTCCACGGGTAGTGAGTAGAAGAGCTTGGGTTTGTACCCAGATCATCTGACTCCAAGTCTACACTTCCCTCCATCCTAATAAGGAGGAAACAGTGAGCACCCAGAGGGCCAAAAGGCCGGCCAACACACAAGGGAAGCCAAGAAGCCAAGGTGTCGATTGGAATCAAATTAAATGATGATTGTAACTGACATTCATGTCATGCTTTTAAAAATACTTGCACGGGCCCTCACAGTCCTGTGAGGGAGGTGCTGGAAGCATCATTCATCCGATTTTACAAATGAAAAGAGCAGGATCAGAGAGGTTAAGGGACTTGTCTGTGGTCATGCACCTGTGATATTTATGAGCTGTGTGACCGCTTCCAATTTAGCTAACTTCTCTGCTCTTCCTTTTCCTCCCCCGTAAAATGGGGATCATGCCACTTCTCAGGGACATTGTGTTGGTAAGGTAAGATAATAGGAGGAAAGGTCTTTGAAAATCTTAAAGTACTAGGCAAGTATCAGGTATTGTTTTTATTATTAATTATAAAAGGAAGTTCAGATCTCCCACCCTCATTTTTTTATCACCACATCAGCTTCTTGCACATTGGTAGTCTTAGCAGGAGCATTTATTAACAGCTTTGTAATTTGAACTGATTTAATTCTGATAGTACATCAATTAATAACTGTTTGAAACATAAATCTTTTGATTTTTTTGGTTTTCAAGACAGCTTTCTTATGGGCACATTAACCAGCCCTTGAACTTGATGTCTTATCTGAACATAGCCCCAGGGGTATAAAGAGAGATTCATTATATATTCAGCAGTTGTTGAATAAGCAATAAAGACCTGCCTAGACAACGTTCCTCCTCTTTAAAAATCTTGAAGCAGAGGTCAGGCATGCCATAGTAGGGATTCCTTTCTTAAATGTGTTGGACTAGTTGGCCACTGAGATTTCTTCCAATTTTAAGACTTTATGATTCTGTGAAAATGGGTTAACTTTTAACCTGCCTTTGCTGATAATGGCAAAGCCTTTGACTGAGTTCTGAATTAATGGTTATTTCTGTCCTGTAAATATATAAACCAAACTCAAGTGTACCGAGAGCATCAGAGCATTCAACATCCATGTGGAAGATTTCTTTATTGTTAAATGCCACCAGCACAATAATAAAACATGACTTCTGTCTTTAAGCTTATAAAGGTTCTCTTTGGCCTTAAGCTCACTGTCGTCTCCCCAAATAGAATCAAGTTTGGCTTTGAAGTTAAAGAAGAAGCTATACATAAGCATCTTATTAATCACTTGTGCATCAATGATGTAGAGTTATAGGGCTTCCATAAACACACACACACACACACACACACACACACACACACACACACACACA